TACATAATTTTCCCTTCTATTTCTAATCCCTAAGATTGAGATACTAAGAATGAAAACTTCCAAGAAAATAGTAATCATCCAAGAAAAGTAATTTTCTAGTACGTGTGTTAATCGCTAGTATAAAACATGTTCCTTTATATACATTGTATGTATCAGTGTGGGGTTAGAATGTGTACATTGCACTCTGCCCAAAAGTCCAGGCTCGTGCTTTGGACATGCAGCTTCTTGGCCTTGCGTGGAGCAGACATGGTGGCTTTGGGCCTTCAGGGCCTCCTGGGCCATCCTGTATCATCTGTGTGTGCTGGCGACTGCCAGGAGCATGCTGCCTGTTCTCTCTGGCTCACATGTTCCTTATTCTGCCTTACCCTCCCTAAAAGGTTTTGCCTGTACCCCTAGGAGTTAAGCTCTAGACTAGTTTGCTTAAGGCTTGTTCTAGTTTTGTTGGTTTTATTTTAACATTTTATCATGTAATATTTTAAGTATAAACAAAGTAAACAAAAGGATGATGAACCCTTATATGCCTATCACCCAGCTTCAAGTATCAACATCTGCTGTTTTCATCTCTACTTCTATCTACTACCTGCTTTGTACTTGATTTTTTTTAGGGTAAAAAAAAATTTTTTTAAGGTAAAATTTATGTAGGTTGAACTATACAAATCTTAACTGGATAGTTTTGATAAATGGAAAATGCCATGTAACTCTTACTCCTATTAAGATACAGAACATTTCCATCACTCCAGAACTGTACTGAGAAGAAAGCCACCCCTGTTCCTAGATGTTAGTAGATTATTCCATGGTCAGCAACCCTTGTTCCCAGGTGCTAGTAGATTATTACATGGTCAGGGGTGAGAATGCCGTCTAAGGTGAACACTTAAACGGTTCATGGAGTAACTCAGAAAGTTCAGGCAAAGTAATATGGCAGGTCTCTGTGCTGAAGCTGGTGTTCCCTTTGAATAGGTCATTGTGAATTCTAATTAGTGGGACGCTTTGATTGTCTAGGATTGTTTTCCACAGGCTCCACTACTTTGAAACACATTGCCCCCTTTTCAAGTCACTGGTATATATTTTGCATACACCCACACCT